ATTATGTTAGTTATTAAAAAAAATAAAAAAATTAACATCTAAATTATCAATTTCCCCATAATTTTTATGCGTAGACAATTATGTTGGCTATAATTGGAATTCTCTTATTATCTAATACATGAAAAATTATTAATTTTATTTTGTTGTAATAGCGTTCGAATTCTTTTGCATATAATTTAGAACACGAATCAGGTAGTGCATAAAAAATTTCAGCACGAGCACTAATGTTTTAAACCAACAATTAATTATGTCATACAACAACTAATAAATAATTATATCATATAATTATGTATTTAATTATACGTCAGCACAAGGGTTGAATGGATTACACGTAACCAATTTAGCCTGTTCTTGTAATTCTACAGAATCTGCAACTAAACAAATAAAAAAACTATATTATTTATTTTTTCATGTGCACTAATGTTTTAAACCAACAATTAATTATGTCATGCAACAACTAATAAATAATTATATCATATAATTATGTATTAATTATACGTCAGCACAAGGGTTGAATTGATTACACGTAACTAATTTAGCCTGTTCCTGTAATTCTACAGAATCTGCAACTAAACAAATAAAAAAACTATATTATTTATTTTTTGGAAGGAAAAAAATGTTCCAATAATTTCGAAAAGGTATGTTTCTGTGTTATAAATAACAAGATTATGAGCAAAACTACCAATTTGTTCAATGGAAGAAGGGCTACCATTTCGGTCAACAAAGAGCAATAAGATTTATTGTGAGGGGCAGTAAAGTAAAATAAAACAATATTTCGTACAGTAAGACAGAACAACATTTTTTCTTATATTAGTTCTTTTTGAAAACTGTGAAACAAACCAACTATAACTTCCTGCCTTTTTTCATTAAAGAATAAAATGGATAATTGTAAAAAAATTCGTAATTTAATGGTGTTGTATTATAAAAGAAAGAATTCCCTACAAAATGATATGCATATTTGTTATTACTAAAACCAAGATCAACAACACATATTCGCATAAGAATAACCCGAATCTAACGAAAACTTAAAGAATCTTTTATTATTACGGAAGCAATCTACTCGGACTCAGTTTTATCCACAAATCGAACAAACCGACAATCGAACATATATCCAAAACCCAAACTACAAATGACCCGCCACGGAATCGCAACTAACACATAAACCCGAACCCTACTCTAAGAAAACACAACGATTTCAAGCCTATTACACCGTGAACAACATATACATTGCGAGACAAGAATAAAGGCGCAAATCAATTAAATCAAACCGTAGAAACACCAAGTTCAAGTCGCGCTTCAACTAGGAAGGAGCGTATCCCAAATCGCCGGACAAAGTCACCGGGAATGCAGGTGCGATCGATCGGAATCGCTAGGGCTCGAGAGAAGAGAGTCGCGAAGAGTTCTGTATCTGTGTTGTATCTGTTCTGAATCTGAATCGAATGAATGAATGAACCGGTTCAGGGCAGCACTATATCAAGTAGCTGCGGTTCAGACCGGACCGGTTCAGAGACAATGGTTCAACAGAACCGATTTATCAAGGCAGCCAGCAGTCTCACAGAGACTCGGGTTGGGTTGGGGTTACAACTTCGGGCTTCAAATGGGCGGGTCGGTTGTATTTGTATTAGGTCTCCTTAATTCATTGGCCCAAAACTCCATAAATCTCCACCTTTTTGGGCATGGAGAATGTGCTTTAAAAGTGGGTGTCATCATAGTCCGAATCATCAATTGCTTCCAGTCTTTTAACCTGCGGACTTATTAACACGATTAGTATTTACACATTTTATCTACTTACGAAAACAACAGAAAAACAGCCTTTTAAAACAGTTAAGAAAAACAGTGCATTTTTACTTTTCAAAAACAGTGATTAAATTACCATTTTTACAGTTTCAAATACATCTCTAATCAAAAGTATCAATATACACTATTTTCTTACCAATTCCAATTTCGTAATCGATAAAATCTTTAATCCCATGTCCACAGGGTTGTTTTATCAAACATTTAGACACTACCTCATGAATCAAATGACACCTAATGTCTATGTGTTTCAAAACATAAAATACTTTTTCAAAAGACCATGTCCAATTTTATTTTCATTTATTTCCTCAACCATCTCATTTTTATATGTTGATTTTATTGCCTTACTATATGTTTTTGGTTCAATCCCACCTGTAGATTCAAACACACCAAAGACAAGGAAAGTATTAGTAAAATCATCAAACATAGATGGTTTTTTAATTATCCTCCTAGTTCTATCACTAGTCAATTGATTATTCTCTAACCCAGGGCTTCCTACATTTAAATATGAACCTAAACAATCAGAATTTGCACCTACATCAGACTGTTCTTGCAAATTTTCAATTTTTAAAACATTTACAGGCAGATTTTGCAAACTTTCAGACCCTAAATCTGACTGGTTTTGCAAATTCTCATAATTCAAAATATTTTCAGGCAGATTTTGCAAACTTTCAGACCCTAAATCTAACTGGTTTTGCAAATTCTCATAATTCAAAATATTTTCAGACATATTTTGCACATTTTCATAATTTAAAACATTTTGGGACAGATTTTTAGAATTCTCAGACTTTAAATCTGGTCCGGACATGAAGCAAAAATTCGATGTTTTTAAAACATTTAAAAATTGAAAGATTTTGATTGGAAGTCAAACGGGCAGAAAGATTAAATGGTTGAGAACCAACAATGGTTTAGAGTTTTGTAATGCTTGGTTTGACAACTTTTTTGTAGATGGAATAAAGCGTCAAAGAACCGTTCTTGGTACACCCCAACAAAGTGGGGTTGCCGAACGGATGAACCGGGCCCTATTAGAGAGGGTTAGAAGCATGCTTGCTTCCTCCGGGTTGTCCAAACGATTTTGGGGAGAAGCCTTGATTACGGTAACCTATTTAATTAATAGGTCACCATCGGTCCCTTTGAAAGGAGCTTGCCCCGAATCGATTTGGTGTAGAAAAGATATAGACTTGTCCAACCTTAGAGTGTTTGGTTGTTCCGCTTTTATTCGTGTTTCTAGTGATAAGTTGGAAACTAGAACCTTAGAATGCATTTTCTTGGGATACCCCGAGGGAGTTGAGGGGTATAGGTTGAGGCTAACTTCAAAATCGGGATTCAAAACTTTTGTGAGTCGGGATGTGATGTTTAATGAACATGAGATGCCTTGTTTGATTAATAAAACCAAGATCAACAACACATATTCACACAAGAATAACCCGAATCTAACGAAAACTTAAAGAATCTTTTATTATTACGGAAGCAATCTACTCGGACTCAGTTTTACCCACAAATCGAACAAACCGACATCGAACATACATCCAAGACCCAACCACAAATGACTCGCCACGGAATCGCAACTAACACACAAACCCGAACCCTATTCTAAGGAAACACAACGATTTTAAGCCTATTATACCTCAAACAACGTATACATCGCAAGACAAGAATAAAGGCACAAATCGATTAAATCAAACCGTAGAAACACCGAGGTTCAAGTCGCGCTTCAACTGGGAAGGAGCGTATCCCAAATCTCCGGACAAAGTCACCGGAGAACGCAGATCGATCAATCGGAATCGCTAGGGCTCGAGAGAAGAGAGTCACGAAGAGTTCTGTCTCTGTGTTGTATCTGTTCTGAATCTGAACCGAATGAATGAATGAACCGGTTCAGGGCAACACTATATCAAGTAGCTGTGGTTCAGACCGGACCGGTTCAGAGACAACGGTTCAACAGAACCGATTTATCAAGGCAGCCAGCAGTCTCACAGAGACTCGGGTTGGGCTGCGGGTTACAACTCCGGGCTTCAAATGGGCGGGTGTATTGTATTTGTATTGGGTCTCCTTAATTCATTGGCCCAAAACTCCACAATATTAATATATTTCTTTTGCTTTATAACTTTCTTTGCATTAGAACATAGTATAAAAGAAAATCAATACGTATAATGGCCCAAAATGGATTGTTGAGCTCTGTTTTCGGTCAACAAAAAAAGATTTAAGAAATTCGGTCAATGAAAATCCATCTAAATCAGAAAAAAATATTATTCGGTGTAAAAGATATTTAAAGATATAATTTACCTTTTTGGACAAATAAAGCCAAACAGATTTTATACGGTTAAGGAGGCTTAAGTAATAAGAGATAAACATTTGTACATCAAGCTATATATAGGTATTCTTGATATGACTGCCTCTTTGCTGCTCTTTGTTTGCTACTGTTTTATATTTTTTCTTGCCTCACCTACTTCTACGATGCTGGCGTCAATTTATGTACAACAACCATCCTCAATACGGGTGTGTACGTTTCGAAAATAGTTGTGTTTATTTGTCCAGTCTGTTGCTTAAATTGTGCATACGCGGCCCTGTTAATCAAAACACGATTGTGTTTGGTTCAGTCAGCTGCCACGTTAAAGTTTGTCAAATCCACATAAGTAATTTTCGTTAATTTTCAACGATGAGAACAAATTTGATTAAAATAATGTCACTAAAATTGATGAATTTTTTATATTTGGACCAAAATTAATATTTTTTTTGTTATATTGGAATAAATTTTAATTTGTTTTCCTACATAATATTTTATTCATGTATAATAAAACATAAATGGCTATTATATCCAAATTTCTATTAATTCTGCTGAGAAAACATTATTATGACTATTTTAGATTTTGAGGAAGTGAAAGTCTAAAATATAATGTTGGTCTCTTTTTTAAAAAATTTATTTAAATCAATTTAATAAAATATTATATCAATTTTAAATTAAGAGTAAACACAACTTTTTCGGCCAATTTAGCATTTATAAATTATTATAATAAAATATTGTTATATGATTAAGCGACATTATTTTAACAAAAAAATAAGCTTCTTACAGCACAGCTAACAGACAGAAATAGAGATCGAAATAGAAATAGAAATAGTGCAGAAAGAACGTACATAGACATAGACATAGACATGAATGCTATCTCCTTTAGATCATCTTGTTCGTACACAAGAGAAGACTAAATTAATTAATTAATTGATTAAACAGAGTTGACTAAGATTTGCTCAATGCTTGCTGGCTACCTTGCTGCTTCGCGTATATGGAGTGATTCATTCCTTCCTTTCCAATTTCTGAATTAGATCCATTCAGATCCCTCTCTCTCTTTCAACGAGCTGCTTTTCTTCGATCAGTCATGGCGGGGAAGGGGCGGCCGCAGTACGGTAAGGGCGGCCTGATGCGCAAAGCCACGTCGTCGTCGTCCTCGGCGTTCCTCCTCTACGGCCTCATAATGCTGTCCTTGCTCATCGTCGTTCTTTTGTCTTTCGGAGTTTTCTCCATTAACAGCGGCAAACGTTCCAAGGAGTCGCACAAACCGCATGACCTCACCTCCATCGCTCACAATTCAGCACACTCGTAATTGAACTCGCGCGCGCACAGTTTCGATTCTGCATTTTCCGGTTGGCCTTTGATTTCAGTTTTATTTTTTCGATTGTTTCAGAAGCGAGAGAGATGAGGAGAGGAAGGATCAGTGGGTTGAAGTTATCTCTTGGGAACCTAGGGCATCCGTTTTTCATAATTTCTTGGTAACTCTATCCGGATTCTGAAATTGGGGATTTTATGGCTGCCTATGCCTATGCTTCGTACACATTATGCATTTTGATATCTCATGCCTTCTGTATGCATTTCCATTAACCCAAATTTGCAGTAATTTTGGATTATAGATCTGAAGTGCAATTTTATTTTGACTGCTGATTCCATATTTGAAGCATAGTTTATGTTGGATTTAGATACCGAATGCAAAGTAGAGAGCAGAATTATATAATCTTACATTTGATCTTTGAGAAATTTCTATTTTTCTTGAAAACTAATGGAATGAGTGAAGGCAATTATCATGATCGGGATGTTCTAAGCAAGCACCTTTGAGGTTTTCTTTTGTGATTAATAGATTTTGGCTGTGTAGAGAGCTGATTATTAATCTATTTTGCTCATAAATGATCACGATCTTGATCTTCCCCGGGCTAGGAAGGCAGTCTGTTTTCTGAAATATTTTGCATCCTTTCCTGACAGACGAACGAAGAATGCGATTATCTTATTAGCATTGCTCAGCCACATATGGAGAAGTCAACTGTTGTTGATAGTGCGACCGGGAAAAGCAAAGACAGCAGGTATAGTAAAATTACTTCCAATTTTCCATCCTTGGAATTTGGTTAAAGAACTTAACTAAATCTTGCTTCGATTCTCATTTGGTTTCATTTGTATAGTTCTGCCTTGTTTCTCATCTATGGAGGACGTCTAAAATTATATTCAAGTGTTTGAATCCTTATGTAATGGTTCAATGCATTCCCTTAGTTGATCTCTCTAATTTTGCTTGAACATATTTAATTGATTCCTCTTTGATTGGACATGACATGTTCGATAACATTCATTTCGAATCGGGCTCGTCAAGCTTATCATCCAACTTTAGTTGTGCTTTAAATAGTGTAGAAATATTGTTCAAATGAAATTTGTCTGCCCATTTCTCCGTTTCTTGCACCTGAATTGATTGCTCAATTTCCCTCGATTTCAGCAGCTACTCGTCAATGTAATATTCTCTTGCATCCAATCTCTACCACATCCTTTGATACTTTTGAATTGACTGTAATAATAACACTGGAAGAAATAAGGCATCCAAGTGTTTAAGATAGCCAAGAATCCGTTAGCTAAATGCCATATTTTTCCTTCGTATAGCAAGTGTGTAATAATCTTTCATCTACTCCCTTCATCGCCTTTCTCTCTTTCAAACTGATATAGAAAATTGGACATGCTCTCCATCATTCTTAACTCGGCCTCTTGATTTTTCAAATTTTCTCTCCTTGCAGAGTCCGTACAAGTTCTGGAACTTTTCTCCATAGAGGACGAGATAAAGTTGTACAGAGAATTGAGAAAATAATTGCAGATTTCACCTTCATCCCTGTAGGTATGCATTTAACAGCAACTTGATTCTATCCTTGGTGTTTCCGAAAATTTGATGAGGGTTGTGGAGATCTTTTCCATCATTGACCTCAACTTTAAGTGTCTGCTTATTATGATACATACGGTTTTTATGTGGAAAATCGGGAGACTCAATTAGTCCTGTTTCGATTTTGACATTTCTGTCTGTGGCAATGTTCTATGCGATGAACAGAACATGGTGAAGGACTTCAGATTCTTCACTATGAAGTAGGGCAGAAGTACGAGCCACACTATGACTATTTTCTGGATGAATTCAACACTCAGAATGGTGGTCAGCGAATAGCCACAGTCCTCATGTACTTGTAAGTAACACTTTTCAAGCTCACTACTCTGGATTTATTTCCATATATTATTGTTTTCCATATTTCTGGTGCAAATGACAGGTCAGACGTCGAGGAAGGTGGTGAAACAGTATTCCCAGCTGCGAAAGGAAATTATAGCGCTGTGCCCTGGTGGAACGAGCTATCCGAGTGCGGGAAAGGAGGACTTTCTGTTAAACCGAAAAGGGGAGATGCACTCCTTTTCTGGAGCATGAAGCCTGATGCATCTTTGGATCCCTCAAGTTTGCATGGTTAGTCGTACTTCTTACTGTTCATCTCTAATACTAGTTTACGATTTTCCTTTTTTAGCATTTGTTGCAGACTCTAAACTGAAAAACCCTTTACTTTTACTATGTTTCTTCTAAGAGAAAGTAATCGAAGTTGTTGGAAAAGTTCTACTTCTGTTTTGGGGTTGCTTCTATCGATTTCTTGATCTTCACAGAAAATTATATGTTTTTCATTTAATTGATTTAAGCCGTTGTAAAACAATATATTGTGATAATTCTCTTGATTCTAGTGGCACAATTGCATCGTAGAACATTCTTATCCTTTTTTTCCTTATTCATGTATATCGGGTCTTAAACAAAACTCCCCGTGTTCTTACACAGGTGGCTGTCCTGTCATAAAAGGGAACAAATGGTCATCGACAAAATGGATGCGCGTACACGAGTTCAAGGCCTAATTTGCTGCACTCCCAATGAGTTTTGATTACCCAATGACCCACCCACCCTGTCATCATTTTTTTACACTATACGGCTACTTTTCTGAGCTGAGCTGTGAATCTTGATGTCCTGGGAGAGAGTGTTGTCGATATATCATACAATCTTACCTTACACACGTGTTGTTTATGTTTGTTTTTTTGTTCTGTAAAATTCACAACATTCGTTGGTATCGGGTCGAAATCCCTTTTATGTATCATTCACTACTACCACTATATACCTTCTTTGTTCTTACCACATGAATAGAGAACATTAGCTTCACTTGACTAATATGTTTCCCGATGGATGAACTAACTTGTTTTAGCATCCATTAATTAGATTTCAATTTTGCATTCCAATTATAAATGTTGAGAGCTTGTTTAAATCTTCATTCTGTAATGCTTCCTAAATTTCCTTGTTTATTTTGCGGCATTACTTACTTAGATGTAACAAATGAATTGGAAGTGAGGACAATTTGTATCATAATATGTGTGTATATTTGAAATGTTTTGGATAATTTGAGATCACTATAATAATAATAACATAAAATGTCTTAGAATGTAATATGTTAAAGTAGATAACAAGTTTTTCAATGTAATAGTATATATCAATTACGAGAGACAAAATGTCATAATTTGACCACAGTAACTCTACAAATTATGCATAAAGCGTAATAACCACCTTATATGCATAATAAGATGTATAATATAAGCATGTATGTATTTATGTATTCGGTATATATATGCTTCAATGTCAACATACAAGTGTCCTGAGTAATCTCCCAAAATCTCATAGTAGAATTTCATCACAAACCCATAATTAAAAGATATATACTACTTATCTTAATACTATACTATAATACCATACCTCCTCCGCTTGGCTTTACGTTTTGTGATGTTTCAGAGCTTCGAACCGAGCAGCAAGTTTGTCATAATCGGGCAATTTGGGATGAATGCGGCTTACCGGAACCTGTGGCGCTGGGCGATTGGGTGGTCGGTAAGAACCCTCATTCCCTTCATCATCTTGATCAGCTTCATCATCATATCTGGCATCGTACCGAGCAGACTGAACATTGTAACTATGCCTTCTATGCATTTCTCTCGGGTCAGTTGAGGGCGGTGGTTCTTCCATCTCGATTTCTTCATCGCAGTCTGATTCATCAAACTTGATACCGTTGCTCCTCTGCCTCTGGCAGTTATAGCTCTGCCTCCTTTGCGTCGTCTTCCTACCTCCATCATCAACATTTGACTCGTGTGGCATACCATAAGAATACGAGTATTCAGGATTATCTGTCCTCGGATGATAATCAGACTGATCACTGGTGGAGTAATTAGATTGAGAGTTTCGGGAACCACCCCTCGCAAAGTTCCGATTAGGATTCCTCGACATGGAATTGGTGTTATTCATGGCCGATCTACCAGGAGGCATCTGGTTGCCAACGCCTCCACAGGCAGCTAAATGGGCAGCGGCTTCGGCTGCAGCAAGTGCTTTCTCAGCAGCAACTCCAGCGGCTGATGCAACGTCTTGAAAATCCACCATATTGGTTTGACCTCTGATCATCACAAAATTTGCAGTGACAATATGTCAGCAGATGGTTTGTATGTGTGGCAGGCGAGATACCAAATATTTACAAGATCGATTAGAATGAGAACACTTGAAGCGAGAATTGCAAAAACAAAAATAGGAATTAAGATTAGTTTCTAGAAATTGGCTAAACAAAATATAGCAAATCTTTTATGAGAGAGTATAGCAAAATAAAAACAAATATTTTCAGCACACCCACACACAAAAAAAGATAGAAGCTCGTGGCTGAATATGCAATGAAATACAATTACCGGTTAAAAGCATTGTTTGGCTCAGGAGATTGCTGTGGAGCTGACTTGACCGGCATATTTGTAGCACTTGTAAAATTGTTCGGTCCATCCTAAATCAAGAAAATAGCAGAGAAGAGTTGAGATACAAAATGATGTGATGATGAATAATTACGCACCAATTCGTGTCTAGTGCGTGAGTGAATTTGTATGTAGATGGCAGGAAGTAGAAAAGGAAGAGAGATACAATTCTCTGCTCGGGAGGCTTCAGTAACTCCTCTTCTGATTCTGTTGTGTCCCACTGAACCTGATATTCCTTTGCTATTTCCTTCAAAACTTTCAATTTTGTTTCACCCGACGGAGTCTTCACAGAGAGCTTTTCAATAAGCTGCAAGCATATTTATATAGCAGTTTTTCATTTATGGTACTACGATGGCTATTACACAACACCAATCATCCAAGCCAATTGAAACTATATGATCATGGCTGGGGATATATACCATGCGATTAACACCAGCATTTGGCCGTAGATCGGTAGCTGTAGATACGAAGTCCTTCCCATATTTCTTCTGAAAAACATCTCGAATGGATAATAGTTCAGGAATTTCTGAGCACCGTGGACCTGCAAATATCAAACTTGATATCCCTTCTTTAAGGTCAGCCGGGCATTCTCTGTGGAAGAAGATAATAATGGAGTTCACTTTTCATATACCATCAAAAAGCAATCAAGGAATGTCACATGAAAAAGCTTTATACAAAACATACTGTTGCTTTGCAATGATCGAAAGCCTGGACACGATCAACTCACAGAAAAGCTCAATCAATTCATTTGCAGCCATGATGTTCTGCTCCCTTATCACATGTTCAACCTATATAGATATCAGAAACTTCATATGTAGGACTAATCAAGTTATACATTATTAAAGAAATCTTTATACATGATAAATGGTTACATTGATTGATAATGTCTGGAAGCAAGGGTCAGTACAAAACCGAACATTGAAGTGCCAATTCTTAGTAATAAAATTCAATAGATAGAGTTGAACCAGAACAGTAACTATTTCCAACTTTTAACTCCAGATTATTATAGAAGCAAATAAGGACATTAGAAGTATCTAACCATCGGAACAGGTTGAACTGTTCCTTTTTTCCACACGGATAAAAGGATAAATTAAACAAACAGAAACATTTGGCAGATGAAATTGCATATGGTTCTAGCTAAAGTCATAATAAAAATCTCAAAACACAAACGAAGCAGTCCGGTGGACACTTGCAGATGTAATCATAATTAGAAAAACATTTAACGGCAAATGTCTTGAGAAAAAGTGATTGCACAATTAATGGTGAGTATTTGAGAAATTAAATGCTAAACGCGGCTGTAGGGGTTTGTGATTGAGAACTCTTCTTATAATAAATTAGAAGCAGAGAACAGACTAGTGCACTTTCAAATTGGTTTTAGAATAAAATTAGATATTTCGAGTGTTTCCAAGCACTCATATATTGTGCATGAGGACATCAAAGCTGCCTTTGTTCTTGTGCAAGAGAAATAAAAGGCCAATTTGCACTGACCAAAGGGAAAAATCATGGAATTGAATAATTCTAACCATACACACAATTGGAAATAAAACGGACTTAAACTCAACTTCATAGAGTCTCAGTGAAACAATGCTGCATGCACATCACTTCCATTTCAGATCAACTATATTAATGCAATGAAAAAACTAAGGTCAAGAGCATAACAAAGTACAAACAATTAAAAAATAAAAAACCAATCAAGTACATAAGTGTGGTCTCAAGCACTCTCACACTCTTCTTTTATAATTTCAGTTTCAGCAAAATACCTTTCCTAATAATATTTCAAACAAGTGGTCTCAGAAAAAATACACCCTTGAAAAAATCTCAAGAACAAACAAGCCTTCTAGAGCCTAAAATGAACTGTGATTCTAGAGTTATCCATAATTTATGATGAATTGAATCAACTTTGACGCAACTGGACTGTCGAACAGAGTGATCTTTAGTTAGAAATATGCATTTTCTTGATGAAATATTGAGTTTCTGAAGTGGAAGGCTAATCCTACTTCATCCTAATTTACTGTTAATATTTCCCTCAAGAACTCTTAAGAAGTTATAATGGAGCTTGAACTAAAAATTACAGTACCACTCAACAAGTTTCAGATCTCAAAATTGCGGTTTCAAAGACCCTAAATTAAGATAGCAGCAGCCTCTCCGAAACCAAAAACGACGATAAATCGACGGACAGCAGCAAACAGTTCCCTAACACAAGACCAGACCAACTAAACCCCCCAATGGCGAAAGGCAACGAAAATTACCCGAATGCGAGCAGTGGCATCTTGACGGGACTCGAGCAGCATAGCAATGTCGCGCCTCATCTGCTTTATCACAACTTCTCGCTTATTCCTCAGCAGCTTCACTCGCGCCACCGCCATTTTCGCCATGGTTTTGCTTCAAAAAAAAAAAGGTAAATCCGATTTAGTTCTCCACAAACCAAACCTGAGCATAAAAAACACGGAGCAGGTAGTATCAGATCACCATTTCGAGGAGTTGAAGCTGCGGCGGAAAATCAAGAGACCCATGTTGAGCAGCTTCTTCCAGCGGTGGGCGGCGACGGCCATTTTGGGGGGGCGAAACCCTTGGGGTTTTGTATGGGAAAGAAAATAATAGGAGAGGTGCGCTCCTCCTGTAACGGTCGAGTACGACTAAAAGGCGATGTGGGACTGAGGTAGCTAGCTGTAGATAGTGTCGGCTTGTGAATGAACGGCCACGATGCAAATGATCAACCGCCCCCACTTTTGTTGAAACTTTGGAAAAAGAGCCGTTACATGTCAGGACCTTAATCCTTCCCTACTGGGAAATGGGAATCCGAAGCCTACTCAAATACTCTCTCTCCGTCCCCGTATATCATGTCACGTTTGGGAATTCTAAGCCTAAAGCAACACTAATTTTTAGTCTATTTTACACACGATGATACTTTTTTTTTATATATATATTTTATATAATTTTTAAATTTTTATAAAATTAATTAGTTATTTTAATTTTAATTTATAATTATTTATATTATATTTTAATTAATTTTATTAATATATTTTCAATTAATTTTATTAATTATATATTTTTAATGTTATTATTTATTAATACATATTTAGGACGAAAGAAGTAATTTATTTCTTGTTTTTTCTTTTATAATTCCTTTTTAAATTCCAAAATGATTATTTGTATTGACTTTGTTGATTTAGTATCTTAAGCGGGCATGATATTTTATAAATATTATTAAAAAAATTAAAAAATATATATTTATTCTATTTGTTTAAAAAATTAATATTTTAATTAAAATATTATTTTTTACATTATAAATATTATTTTATTGTAAATTTTTTACAAATAACACCAAATATTTAATATTAATATTAATTATAAAATTAAAATATAAATATAAAAATAAAAATCTTATAAATAATAAAAATAAAGAGACAAAAATATTTTCCTCATCCTAAAATTGTGCTCATTTTTTATTTTTGTTCTCTTAAAAATATTTTTATTTCCATTTAGTAAAAATTATACATTTTTCATATTTTTCTTATTATAAAAAGCAAAATAATAACAAAAAGTATCAATCACAATTCTATACATAAAAATTCATGCCGAAAATTTTTGAACATAAATTGAAGAGGTAAAAAGAGTATTATTTATAGATAATTTTAAATTAAACTATAATTAAAACCAAAAAAGATTCCCTCACATTATTCCGAGTGCTACGTTATTCTGTCTAACTATAGAACCCTCTTGTTGGGAAAGTGAATTATGCAAATATAGAAGGTGGGTTGGACTTATGACCATGAGGTCATGGGTTCAAATCTCCGATGTCTCAGGTCACCTACCACACATAGTTCGTCTAGTGTAACTTTTCCGTCGAGCCTGGTTTGCAGGGTATTAGGTTCGGCCGAGAGTTTACCCAATGCGCACTTTCGAGTAGCGATTGCGGATTCTCACGTCATAAAAAAAAAAAAAAAACACACACACACACACAATAGGGAAATAATCTCTCGATTGGATTGGAGATGATCTAATATACTTTTTTATATATCACATAAAAAAAATAAGCTAAATTAAAATACTAAATAACACACTTTAAAAAAAAAAAAAAAAAACTCATATAACATATATGTAGAGCATAATATTGAAATTTCAATTTGATGTCCTAAAAATCAATCAAACATATTTCAAACAATCCCCACTTATTCCTAAACTCACATTTAATCATCACAAAGCTTAGGGCACTTAAAATCATTTTGACATCAAAAGTCAGCACACACAAGGTTGTCCATTAGAATCAAATAGCAAAAAAAGTTCGATATGAATGATTTAAAAGCCAACACGTTTAAAATGCATGCTGTAAATTTATTCACGAATCCTTTGAATTTATCGAACAAACCTCGTATACAAAAGTACGAATCAATTAATAATGAAAGCAAAATTCGAATAAAACCCAAATTAAGCTAATACCGAATTGAAATGAAATTAAACAAAGTAAAGGCAAAATTGAATTATTAAGAAAACACAAATAAACAGCCTCAAAGATAAATTAGAGAATTAAAGAAGAACTTCGTGTTCGTCTTCTTCTCTGATTCTGAAAAAACCCCACGACTACGAAATCGACGACGACGATTCCTCCACCGATGGCTCACGGCGACCAGCGATGATCCTCCGGCAACTTCCCTCTGGCGTCCGGCCCAACAGACTTCTCCGACCAACAGTAGCGCCGGCTGGAACTCCTCCCGAACGGCTTCGACGATTCTTCTTTCTGAAGAAATAGAGGCAGAAAACTAGCAGACTTCCAGGGAGAAAGATGAAAAACTATATTATGTATTTTGAATGAATGAATAACGAATGAGTATATTGAAGAGTATTTAAATAAAGGAATATTAACTACTTATGTAAACTGCCTAACAAATTAAAACAGACTAACAAAACACATGTATAACAAAGTAATCATCCATAGTCACCAATGAGAGTTTTTATCAGCATCTAGTTTCAATTCTATTTCTGGAATGGTGTGGTGTTTGCTTATCATCATCCCCACTTCAAGCGAACATGGACTAGAACAAACCAGATTCAGCTTGGACTGAGCTGAAATGAAGTTGTGCATCGATAGGGCCTTAGTAAAGATGTCTGCAAGTTGCTGAGAGGACAGAACATGGATGAGTTTAATTAGACCAGCAGCATAGTGATCACGAACAAAGTGACAATCAATGTCAACATGTTTGGTGCGTTCATGGTGAACAGGGTTTTGCACCATATGGATAGAGGACAGGTTGTCATAGTAGAGAGGAATAAGGAGAGTTTGAGTTGTTTGGAGATTGCGTAAGAGGTAAGTGATCCAGAGCAATTCAGTAACAACAACTGCAAGAGCGAGGTATTCTGCTTCAGCAGAGGAACGGACCATTGTGGCTTGTTTATTTGTCTTCCGAGAGACAAGACAAGGGCCTAAGAAGATGCAATAGCCTGTGAGAGAGTGTCGGGAGTCAGGATAATTGGCCCAATCTGCGTAAGCAAAGGCAACTAAGACATGAGATCCCTTAGATGGAAACTCCAAATGATGGTGCATAGAGCCATGGAGATAGCGGAGCACCCGCAAGGCAACTTTCCAATGTTCATTGGTGGGAGCCGACATGAACTGAGTTAGTTGCTGGATTGCATAATAAATATCAGGCTGTGTCATGGTGAGATACAAGAGACGTCCAATTAAGCGACGGTATATCTCAGGATTTTGAAGTAAAGTGCCTTTATTTCTTTGCAATTTGGAGCCAGGGGCAGCAGGGGTGGCATGAGGATTTGAGTCTTGAAGGCCTGCTTCATGAAGAATATCCTCCAAGTAGCGATATCGTGATGCAATAATGCCACCAGGAGTTTGAGTGATTTGAATCCCAAGAAAACAATCAGCAAGTCCAAGGCTTTTGATAGTGAATGTCTTGTGTAAAAAAATCCTTGACAGCAACGATGGCTTGAGGATCATTTCTTGTAACAAGGATATCATTGACATAGACAACAAGAGCTGTAAAGGTGCCATTAGAGGAGCAGATAAACAAACAATTATCATAGCACGATTGGGCATAACCAAATAGAATAAGCTTGGACTTGTTTTAAACCATAGAGTGACTTTCGCAGTTTGCAAACATGTCCAGGAGATATCTTACTACCTTGTGGAGGTTCCATGTAGATATCCTTATCAAGATACCCATGTAAGAAAGCATTGTTGATGTCTAATTGATGAATAGTCCATCGATGCATGAAGGACATAGCAAGCAGTAGTCTTATTGTGACTGGTTTGGTAACCGGAGCAAATGATTCATTGTAATCCTTCCCTAATATCTGTAAGTATCCACGAGCAACTAATCGAGCCTTACAGCGCTGAAAGCTCCCATCAACATTGCGTTTTATTCTGAAAATCCATCTGCAAGAGATGGGTTTTACCCCTTTGGGTAAAGAAGTGATTTCCCAAGTCATGTTTAATTCAAGAGTAGTCAATTCTTCCTCCATAGCTATCCTCCTAGTTGGATCTTGTTGAGCCTGTGCAAAGTATTTTGGTTTCTGCAAGTTGACATTAGAAACTACATGCCAAGCATGTTTAGGTGAGTAGGAGCAGGTAGTAATATAGTCTTGAAGCCAGGCTGGAGGTTTATACACTATTTTAGGGTAGTGAGAAGTATGTGGAGGAGGTTGAGGAGAGGTGGGGTTTGTTGCATCATCAAATATTGACTTATCATGCATGAGAGATGATGGAACACAGGAAGATGAAGATTGAGGTGAAGAAGATAGGGATTGATGTTCAGGTAAGGAAATAAAGGTTTGTTCTGGTAGATCAATCTGTGTTGTTGGAAAATGATTGGCAATTAGAGGTAAATGGGAATTATAGGGTTGGTCATCAAGCTCAATATGAGGCGTGAGCTGAGAGTGAGACTTAGATGGGACAGAAGGAGAATCACCAACAAAGAAAGATGCAAAAAGGAATACAATTTCATGAAACACAACATCTTTAGTTATGATTCGTTTCTTGTGCTTAAAGCCTTTTTGGCCAGCTGAAAAGCCAAGAAAGATGCATCTAATAGCCCTAGGGTCAAGTTTACCTTTAAAAGGAGAAATATTTGTGGCATAGCATAAACAATCGAACACTTTTAAATTTGAGGAATCTAGCTTTTAATGGTGGAGTTTCTGGAATTGAGTGGACCAATTTAGAATGGAAGATGGGATTTGGTTGATTGAGTATGTGGGGCATGTAGGACAACTTCTCCCCAAAACTGTGTAGGAAGGCAAGCTTAAAAAAGAATGACTCTGGTCAATTAAAGATGATGCTTGTGTTTTATTTCGGCTCTACCATTTTGTTGGGGTGTGTGGGGGGCATGAATGATGGTGGATAATGCCATAAGTTCTATATAGGGCTTGGCATTTATGAATGAGAAATTCAGAACCATTGTCTGTGTGGATGCATTTGATGTTAGTGTTGTATTGATTTTTATCAACAATATGAAGGTTTCAATATGACGGTGGAGTTCTTGTTTATTTAGCATGAGGTAGGTCCAAGTAGATCTTGAGAAATCATCTACAATTGTTAAAAAATAATGACAACCGTTTAAGGTAGGAATTTTGTAAGGACCCATGTGTCCAAATGTATTAACTCAAATGGATAACTGAGAGTA